GGACCGCACACATCCGGCTACTGATTGGAATCCAGCCAACCAGAGTAGCTTCAGCCCGGGGACTCAGGGCAATACCAACACCGGCTTGGCCGGTGCTCGAAGCTGAATCGTCACCGGATAGGCGCAATGAAAAAGTGCTGCTGGTGTCACCTGAAGGGGATCGCAAAGTGAGCACAAAGCTCGAGTGTTGCAGCCGGGTCTCTGATAAGCAGCAGATATGGATCGAGAGGGTCCCTAATGTCCGGGCAAGTGCTGCCTGTTGACCGATCTGTAGTAATGTGCGTACATTGAGGCATGCCAATCTGGAGGATGATGGAGGGCACCAAATGAAATAGATGAACTGCGCTTGGCCGTTTGCTTGGACATGGTATTGTTGGCAGGACAGGAATGATGCTCCGCGTTCACACGTGAGTTGAAATTAGAAGATAAAAGCCTAGCAAAGCAAGGTGGGAGAGGGCCAAGAATTGGGAGTTGAGAACAGGGGGGATAAAAGTGAAGGTGGAACAGGACGATAGGGGTGAAAAAGCCTAAGAGGGGGAATACGAAAACGGGAAGGTTTGAGCAGTAGTAGTAGTAGTCTCGAACATCATCCTAGCAACCTGTGTCTCCACTTTACATTACCCGGGGAGAGGTTGAACCTTAGATCATGGGATTTGATGTACGTTAAAGTTATTCATCAGCGGTAAGCTGGGACGAAACATGTGACTTCGGACATCCGGCAACCAACTTAAAAAGCGAATTTGTGGGCCGAGATAAGTTACACCCACGAACATTTCACCGGTTCTCAGGTAACTTGCACACCACAGTTGCTCTCATAGGGCATCTTTGCTTCTATAGGTGCTCGTTACCCGTAAAATGAAGACCGAATATATAGCAGAACGCCACCATGGTCGTTTGATATTCTGCCACCTAACGGAAGCACGAGTAGCCAGTCAGATGGACTTATTAGGAAGCTATCTCAGGTTTCAAACAGCTTACTCGGCGAGTCCTAGAGAGTCTGGCTGCCGATGAGCAACGAAACGGCTCAGCTTGTCACGTTTGACCATAAACTGGAAACCGTGAAAGGTACGCTCAAGCTGCGACAGGAACCCCTGGAAGCTCAAGTACTGTCATCGACCTGCTGATGCAGATGGGGTGAACTCGGGAACCTACCCGAAAATTTAAAATTCTTAGACTGGTTAACCACCGCATTAACTCAACGCTGCCAAATTTTTATTCTCCCTAGAACTGATGGGTTGATATATGAGCGAATAAGTAACAGTCACTCTTAGTGTATGGAGGGGGTATACTATCAACCTCGGTCTGGCTCAGTCAATAAATGTGACTCGCATAGGCTGAGTTTTTGCCCCATCCCTCTTTCCAGTGCGGTGATTTGTTGCACCCCAAACTCCTCTTCACCCTCATCGAGGAGTCTATCAACCAGACTCTAAAAACACTCGACTTCGTTGTTATTCTCCGCCTAAACCTTTGTATCAATTGGCGCGGGCGCGTGACATATCGTGACGTCGCAACGCCCCAGATCACTGGTAGTTGATCTCACCTTACTCCTTAAATGCGTATTCCACTGACTTTTATCGCTTTCGCCATCGCTACTTGGAGGTTGCACCCGTTGGATGAAACACAGCCACATCAGGTAAATCTCCATTAACAGATGGACGTCGTTCTCTCGGAACTAAAAGAGCCGCAGGCATGTACCACATAAATTGGCATTTAATGCCACAGCAGCTTTTGAATATTGGAGGTGTGAACCGGAATTTATACATTGTAGAAAGCAAACAAGGGTGTGTGCTATTTTAACGGTTCCTATCTGATCGTTTTGGAGTGTGGATGTTAGCACTGTATACGATAGACGTGCACAACTCTAGTGTGTATCAGACGCTTACTCCAAAACTGTGCGCTGAAGAAACAATCAAAAAAGAGCGCTTGTTGGAAAGAAATACAGTTTTGAGTACAATCTAGTCGCATTGCATCCGGCACCTCTGTTGTATGTCAACTTCGGCAATGAACGCAAAACAGCAGGTTCCCTTACGTTTTACTACAGTATATCAAATGAATTAAACTGCTTTTCCACCCACATACTTACTTGTCAGATAGATTTCCGCAACATCAATCAGGATCTGATAACCATTTATTTATTAGAGATTTACATATGTTTGTTATAGAATTACCATTTCTAAATGTGTTTTAATTAATGCCTGCTGGAAGGTTTTTTCATTCAAAATTACATACAAATCAGAAAACCGGTTAGCTGGGTAATTTATGTGAGGAATTTGTCGGTTCTCTCACTTACTATCCATGATGTAACAACATAGTCTTTAATCACCGGTAGAAGCCGCTTATCAGTTCGGCTCGCTAATTTTCACTGTGCAGTTGACTGTGTGCACGAGCACGTTCGCAACCAACCTGTTCTGCCCTGATAGCCACTGGCTTCTAAAGCCGCTAAATTTGCGCAGTTGCAGCGCAAACTCTGTGACGTGCTGTGGATCTACAAATATAACAATGAAACCAGCTTCCTCTAGCTGAGTAAGCTAATTTCGGCTGGTAAGCAGAATTATCGATTATTCAACGTGTGGCATTAGCTGAACTTCCGATAACCGTCTGTCAAGCGATCTTTAAGTGACCGTGTAGGCTTGGTGGCAAACCGAGAACAGCTCTTGCTAGAAGTGGGATCGTCCACATAATCCCACCTGCTTTTCGGATTGAGCTTTTATACACGTAGCAAAATATGTTATTCATTGTAGACTGTGCCCCTCATACGCGCAACTGTATGACAGTTACAAACTCGAAATCTGGGCTTGCGGTGTAATCATTATTATTCGCTTAACGAAGCACCCCGGTTCCCTAGTACACTGGGTAACTCCTAACTCACCCTATTGTGTGTCTGCAAATAACTAGTGAATCGTTTCCACACGTCGCATGAATGGATTACAAACTGATGGCCTCTGAGAAATATGACATCTAGAGAGCAATGAAAGGAGGGATCTGGATTCGTCAAAACCACACGGATACTGCAGTTCCAAGAGAGCTCTGGACGGCCGTTTCATTCCTGCTGGAATCGTCAGGAGTACAGGTTTTATCTGTCCCTTCTGTGGTTAGTATCAATGGCCCTGCTCTTCCGAGTCCGTTGGAAGTGCGCATGGCAGCGGAGGATTCGTGAGATGCTGCATCGCAATTATTTAACCAATCTCGGCGATTACCGCTCGTCCTTGATGGCCTAGTGGTGTTAACCACAAGCTTGTCTGAGTAGGGTTGCATGGGCTTCAGCTTGACAACGAATGCATACTGCTTCCGATCCACGAATGTATGAAAAGGCCGTCCAGTGCTTTTGTCGGTGTACAGTGGCTGTCTAACTGAGGCTGGCTGCTTTGAATCTCCTTCTAGAATACCACACCTCCTATGGCTTCATGTCGCCGACCACTGTCAAACAATAATTTACTCGGCGACTACCGCGAGATATACCTGGATCCTCATGAAATGGATGACAAAAAGAGAAATGGGCCGTTGCTTCAAGAAACCGTACATTGCCTTGGTGCCTTTGATCCAATCAAGTACACACGTATTCAGTAGCTCCCACCCCCACCCGAGTAGCTAGTCAAACACTGGTGCTCTATTTCGCTTTCCGGGTAACAAACAAGGACAGCATTTGATAAACATGTGTGGTGATATTCCACAACAGCAAATAAAGCTTTGATCGCCAAACTACCATTAGGGACTGTACCGTGCAGCAAACTTTCATTATCAATCGCAACTCACACAAAATGACCTGTTAAGTTATCGAGAAGATCTGGTATATCATAGGGTCTACAAATTACGCCGATGTAGTGGAACAATGTTCCACAGAGCGGCTGGAGTGGCATTCTGGGAAGAACTACGGCATCAGTTCGCTCGCCCACGCTGACCCAGATATATTTGTAGCCTGCGGTGACATTATAAACTGCCCCAAGAGTATCGGCGTTTGGCTAACCTGTAGCATGAATGTTAGCATCGTTTTCAGTTGCTCCGAGTGAATGAAAAGCTAGTTTCCATATCAGCCACTTTCCTACTTACTCCAGTGTCTATGAGGAGCCAATATGCACGCTTTAAGCTACCGCATTAGGTCACTGAGTCTGTTTCCGGTACCATTCGCTGCAAGTAAGCAATGTGGCCTTAGTGTGTCACTATCCATATGGCTGTTGTAGCACTTCTATCGTATCAAATATGGCGTGACATTTTACAACCCCTACGACGCCATTCAAACTTACACCGTCCAAAAATTTTCAAAAATCCAACTATTTCAATTTTATCCGCTTCAGCTTGTTATATATCTGCGCACCAAACAGGGCACTCAGTGAATTATTTCAGCTATTTTAAAACCAATGTTTGCCGCTATCACCTTTACATACACCACATCCGTTTGCCGATCGACGCCGCCGCCGTTGTTATTATTTTCCATTCGACCTCACTTGGATAAGTTCCAAAATAGACGGCTTGAACTTTAACTGGGCAAAGTCCACCTATCGAATCACCCAGCCGTATATGTGATGCTCTTCATGTCTTCGCAACCTACAGTTTAGCACACATCCTGCACAACATGCATCACTCAAAGGTAGATTCTGTGCATTTAAATGCTATTAGAGAATTGAGCCAGCAATTCTCTAATATCTCCGCCCGCTAAATTCAATTGCACCACCTTGAGTTGGATCCTCGACGGCATTGTAGGAGTGGTGCCTCCGCTCCTTGGACATCTCAGGGATTGTCGTCTCCCACTGTATGCCCACAGTTCTTTCAATCCCTATTTTTATGCTGCACACTGACTTTTGTCTGAGATCTGGACGCGGACTTGTTAAGTGTTCGTTAACACTGTGGCCACCAGACCACAAAACTCTTCGTGTAATCACGTGACATTGAGTGGGATAGAGAAAAACATGAAATTTGAGGTGGGACCGTAAACTTACTTTTGGGAGTGAACCTTAGTTGCCTCGGTGACACCAAAAGTAATTATCTTCGTACCTGCTTTCCAGTTCATCTCCGAATGCGACGCAAAGAAGTCCTACATGGAACAAAAGGAAAGGCTGATTCAGCTGACTCAGTTGTTTGAATACAATAGTACGACAAAAGTGAGTGCCACAGAAGAGCTGTTTCCATTCCAAACTGTAGTGCTACATTTTATTTCCGAAATCCTTTTCATGACCTTTGTAATAATGTCGTTACAGCCAGATTTCTGTTACTAAACATATGTGGAATACCATTCAGGAGTACCAAAGCAATTACCGTATTGCATGGATAGCGTGTGCATTATCGCTCCGCAGCCTTCAAAAATAGTATGACCTAGGTAATTGTCCGAACTGATTGACCCAAAGACTGTAGTAAGAATGTGTAACAAATGCACTAGAACCAAACATATACATTTACTATATAAATGAGTGTCTTCATAATTCAATACAATTTTGCGAGTAATGGACTATAACTAGCGTGGCACGGGTGGAGCACTGTGCATGGAGCGCCATCCGGATGAAAGCTCTTCTGCCCAAATGTGTTACAAGTGTGTCTCCTGGCTTCGGAAGCCTCTGAATAAATATGTGGTCACTCCATAACTATGCCGTTGACGTAGAAACACTTTAATGTATGTTATACGACACAATCATCAGGGTACTTCTCCCCCCCCCCACCCCCAATATCAGTAGCATATGCGTAGCGTAGCTGCTGTGGAACCAATTTGTGGCAGGGGCGTTTTCTGTATTACGCTCCCTTTTAATAGGTGGCTCCGTATTGCCGAGTTTCGTATAAACTGAATGTGGTTGTAGAAATCGAAACACCAGGTTTCCAGTATATTGCATTTAGCGGTACCGCGTATACCTAGTTGGGGGGGTTACGGCCCCTAAATGACGGCTTCTGTCAACAGAAAAGCTTGTTATAGCATCAGTGTCGGTAGTAACAAAAAACTACTGTGTTTAAAGTGAGTCTTTATGTGGAATCAGCTGAAAAGGTGTCAACTAGATGAGTAGACTCACGTCAGGGTTAATCCAAACCAATTTCGCCGTTACATTCGCTGAAAATCATGAAGCAGCAACATTCGAAATCGGTTGTGACTGCGAGTTTATTGCCATACAAATTCACGGCAACATTGCGTCATCGTCCACCTTTACCGGTTTTTGTGCATCTAATCTGTTGCTGTCAACCTACTGTTTTTCACACTCGTCTCCATCGTATTTTTCCTATTTTTGGCTAGGGTATTCTTTTTTAACTTATTCCCAGGTTGTAATTCCGTGTTATTGTTCCCGAAGCATCGAACCGCAATTAGCGGTAACCGGGTACATTACAACGCAGTACTCTGGACAATAAGGTTGAAATAAACCAAACTGTTCACGCTCTGAGGACCATATTTCAGCGACCGTCTCACGATGGACGGTGATAGCAGTGCGTGCTATCATCTCATAGTTAACTACTAAATGTCACTTTTATGATCAACGAAAAATAACTGTCGAGTAGTTGCTAACTTACTTACTTGACCCTGATACAAGCTCAGCATTCCTCATTTTTATGTGACATTGCATAGTTAAAACGGTCTATTCTGTATCCGCACGTGCCACTTGGATTCTCACAAGCGATGCACATGTCAACAGTTGAGTACAACAATCTTATCTAATTCCACAGGCGCAAGTATGTACGTGATCTCTGCTGATCTTTTCAGACAGTTGCCACAGAAAGCAGACGCTTAATCAAGGAAGGAGAACTTCGTCTTGTCACAGTCAGCCGTCATTCGGGTAGTGCATTTCAGCGCAAACTATCTGGAATTTTGAGGCAAAAGGTAGTCAATGCCTCCCTTTTCTTGTTCAGTGATCTTCTCGTGATTGCCAAAAAGAGGAGGTGGGTTCGTAAATATCAAACTTTGTTTTCGGTGAATAATGTATTTACTGTTTCGGCAACTGTAGAACGCACTCTCTCATCACAAAAAGGGTTGTTGGCTTAGGCACTGCTTGTGAGCAACTGCTCAACGACATACCAGGCAGCTCTGTGTTTAAAGTGTAAATTCTTTGGGGTATTAACAACTGATATGCCCATATCTATGGTTGATCGGTGAAGACAGTTGAACTGATTTTAACTCTTAGCTTTACCCTAGACCAGATTGCGCATACAAATGAAACTGACACTGCGCCTCCCAACTTTCCACTGCAGCAATGATCGTTTGATGATCGATGAAAGCTGTGCTCTCTCCGACGTCACCATCAAAGTAGACGAGACCCCAGAAGGAGCCACTATTATTCGACATTATCGTCCGGCATCTGAGTCATCAGTGGACGCGTCATACGGATCACAACGAATTTCAGCGTTACACGATGAAAACAATACATCCAGTCCGATGGATACAAGCAAGAATGGAGGCTTTTTCTTGTTCCCGTTTAGGCTATGTATCCGGGACGGTACCAATCCACCATCAGAATACCGACTTCAGGCAAAAAGCTTGTAAGTTGCCTCGAACAGTACTATTGACCACGTTTATGTGTTTTGCGTATCATTTTAAATCCAAGAAGATAGAATGATCTAATTCCTCATCATTTAAAACCCACCTATGTGGTGCCTTTTCGTGACGTACCTTCTCGAAAAGCCTAACTGAAGATAGCTGTGAGTAAGGCATCAGCAGCGCGCCAGCACGTATTAACGATGCTTCGCTGGCTCGCAACTACCACAGGTCGCACGTGGACTAAGGATACTGCGAGGGTCGCCCTGTCTCTACGCAGGCTCGATCCCGCGCTCTCGGTTTACAAGGAAAGCTTGTTAATTTTAGGCTACGGGCCGACTGTAAGTAAACTATTTTAGCTACATATCGGAATCTATTGCCTCAGTTTGTGCAACAATAATTCTATTCCTAGACATGCAAAAGGCATTCGATAGAGTGCCTCGCAAAATGTTACTGATAAAGATGGCTATCTTTTGGAATTCAGCACCTATTATCATCATACCTGAACGGTCCTTATCAGGCAGTCAGTTAAGCTGACCACCACTCATCCGCAAGTCCAATCACCGTAGGTATTATCCAAGGAATTGTACTCGGTTCTTCACTATTCTTGCTGTAGGCCAAAGACACAATGGTTACTACACATGGTATACCATTTTTATTAGCCCATGATAACGACATTGTCTACAACGTCCTACTAGCTGAACCTCTATGACTCACTCAGGATTACCTTCATGTCCTTGACACATGGGATGACACGCGAATAAGGAAGTTCTCAGCGAAGGTATCAAATGTCGTGTGTCATGCTCGTTTAACACCCGAAAGATCTATCACACTCAGCAACGATTGGCTTTGCGTGCAACAGTCTACCCGGTGTCTAAGGATCATATTAAATTGTCCCAAAATCAGTTGCCCTTGAAGAATACTTTTTCAATCAATATTTTATTTTAAACAAGCAACAATCTCTAATCAGTGTAGCATCCATTGTTATTTTCAAGGTACTCTCAACGCTCAGGCAAACTGTCGATGTCTCTGTTATAAACCGAGCTGAGCTGGCTATCAAAGTATTGGGTAAAGCATGCTTTGATATGGCTGCAATTACCGTATCTGTTGTCCTTGATGTGATTTTGCAACGAGCGCATATGGTGGTAGTCGATTGAAGCAAGATTCCGGCTATATGCTGGATACATATTAGTTTCAATACCGAACTGCTGAATGTTGAGACGTGTCATCTTTGTTGCATTAGGATGTGTATTGTCATGCCAGGGTAGGATTCGATCTACACTTGGACGTTTTTGGCCTGTATTCGTCGAACATCTTTTACAGCTGTTGGTAGTAGACATCCGAACTAACCATAGAATTGTTAGGTAGCGATTCCTGATATATGACGCCACGGCGATCTCCTCAGACCGACAGCATCATTTTTGCTGTGCAGTTCGCCTCTTTGAACTTGTATTGGCTTTTCATCAGCTGCGATCTACTGATACCTTCTGCCATGGTTGACTTGAAATACCCGCTTCTAGTCATCAGTAAGATCATTCAACCATCGACAATTGCATCCTCGGGAAAACAATGTAAGTGGATGGCGTAACCGATCTAAGTTTGATCATCTGTCGATTCGTATGGTAAAAACTGCCCAAGCTTTGCTATCAAGCAGTATGGGTGCAGATGGCGATGAACGGTGGCTGTTGGAAGGCAAAGGTGAGACGAAACTGTGCGTACAATTTGACTCAGATTCTCCTTTAGAGCGTCCTGGATGTTGCTGCCAAAGTTCACTGGCTTACGTTACCGACCCCGGTTGGTTAACAATTCCTGGTTCTCTACCTTGAATCTACGGAACGGAAATTTCACAATACCGCAACCCGGAGCTTCCGTGTGTAGTACGCCACGCATGTTTCGACAGACATGGATGGCTTTGCGTCCTTATAGGAACTCGTACAACATGCATACGGAAAAAGCATTTTGCTCGTTTGCTACTACCGCAGACATTGCTAAAATGTAGGATACATGAATAATATAAGATTATTATTCCATGTTCCACTTATGTATACATTTTAAAATATTTCGGGAACCTTCCATAAATTATTTAAATTGCATCGAAAAATGTAGATTGATTTTGGGCCAACCTAATAGCTAATATCTCGTCGTTGTCCTTCCAGTCGTCACTATCTGAGCTGATATGCAATCTACTTGATCCACCTGTGTTAAATAGTCTAGCTCATTCCGATATAGGTGCGTCTCGAATCTTCGGGAATGTAAGTTGGTTTATTTATTTATATTCCTGTACCTTTGACTATTCCGGGCATGGCGAGTGCCACATAACACGGACCAGAAAAGCTGTGGCTAATAAATCCCACAAGACGTATGCACTCTCAGTTAGAGTGAAACTTTTAAAACCCTCACCCATCCTATTCTTGGTTATAGCAGTACAGTTTGTGGAAGCGTGAGGAAATCTTAGAGAACGGCTATAGAAATCCAACCGCCGTCGTTTACCAAACTCCTTCTAAGCAATACTTGGAACAAGAACTAACTGTAGCGGTGCCGGCAATTCCAGCTCAATACTGTTTGACACTGCTGTGCAACCTGATTTATGGCAAAGTATACTGTAAGCTGACTACATCAAAATTGCAGCAGAGTTCAACTAGGAATATTCGTAATAAAGGCTGAGCCTTAGTTATGTCATGATGCAAGATAGGAATGCAGACCAATTTATGTGGGATCGGTGCCCCACTACAGTCAGGACTGTGAGATTGCGCGATCATCTAGTAATAGGCTCGGAGGGTACTAGGACCTGAACAATATGATGACCTGGTTCTCGTGGGGGGCGATCGCCTCATGATGTATTTCAAGAGGGCTCAGATAACATCTAAAGCGTGAAATATGGGAAGTTCACACAATGTAAGTTGCACTTAGTGTTTACAATGTTTTTAAAGCGCAACAATGTCCTTCACTTTAATTTAAAACACAAACGTAAGACATCCATTACCAAAAACACAGACAAAACAAGCGTGCGTTCGTATACTGCCCATACTACCTGTACACTTATAATCTGTGCTAATTATGGACACATTCTTACTTGATGGAAAATATACCGATTAAGCTTAGTATTAACTCTACCTCGCACTGTCGTTGAGTCACGAGATTTTCTCAAGTGGATTTTACGCGGATTTCAGCAACATCATTCGCTTATTCTATCATCGAAATTGGAGCACACACATATCAAACCTTCTGTAGGATTAATAGATGCATAAGAAATTCTGAAGTGATGCGAGAGTATAAACTAGGCATTATGAAAGGAATCTAACCTACTGCAGCCTATTTTTCTGCATGTGGCATTTTGCTCGCAAGCAATATTCAATGAAATAAGAAAGCTACAGACCATTCAGATGCATCGTGAACGAAGTTAATTCGTATCATTGATATAACCCTTGATAAGCTTTATTTCTGAGTCAATGTTAGAATTCTAGATAATTGAAATAATATAGTACTATCAGTATTATACACTGATATGTTTTAATCGAAGTGAATTGAGCTGGAGCGCACTGTAAGTTGAGTGTCATTCGTTTGATTTGATCCGCAAATTCATCAATGTCAGTGGTTGCAAGCTATACCTAATGCCCATTTGCATTATCCTTGGCGGTTGAACACTTCGTTCTTACCATGTGGTGATCAATAACATAGGACGGTGATTTTCGACACATACTCAATTAGGTGCCAATAGTTTTCGCGTCCATCATGATAGTTTCAGTGGTACGACAGTGTTTTCACTCTGCAACAAAGCTGACTTAAAAAAACATGTGTTCCACTTGAAAACTGATGCGCTTGCGAAATCGTACACTCGACTCTCGGCCATACCCCATATTGTATCTTACATGTACTTTGAGGAGCGCTATCCTACAATCTCGAGCAGGTCCAGGCGCTGGAGATTTGCGGTAACTGAGTTGCGATCGGTAGCGACCCCTAGACGTTGCAGGTAGTTTGGAAGTTAGCTTAAATGTGCCTACCTGCTCATTACACTACCATGACCAAATATAAGTAAGCCAATGTCTTAACGATAGTACAGCTACCTTTTAACGCATATTTCCCTCCGATCTACGTTCTTCAAGTGATTGTGGCATAGGATATGCACAAGCGAGCTTTACATATAACAAAGACAATCATAAGACTTCGTGCTTTTGCCAACGACTACGAAGTGTATATGATGCAATGGAATATTTGCGCAGTGTGAGAAAGGGCAAGCACCGGCATTTTTAAAAACAGCTCAAAACGGCGCCTGAAGCTGGCATCTGACCTATCAGTGATATATAGCTCAAACACACAGAGCCTAACTTCCAGCGCCTGACCGTGCGTCCGCGTTGGCTGCGCACTTTACTTCTGTGTTTGCAGATGACCAGATGTCTATGCTAAGTTCAACATGTACCAATCTTACCGAGCTAAACAGTCTGGATTGTCGCACTGAATTAACCAGTGCACAGTGGCAGTACCCCAAACGGTCACTTAACCTTTAACCCACCATGAATTTAGGTGAAAACTCATATACGGTCATAACACCTTCCTAACTTCTCAACTTCCATCAGGTCTGAGCGTGAACGGTGGATTGATGCAATATCACCTGCAGAGTATGGAGCGTCTCAAGAATTGCTGATAAGAGGTAAGCGAAATCCAGGGAATTCATGCACTTATCCCAGTTGGTATAAACCATTTCGTACCTATTTTCTTGTAACCGGTTATGCTACTGAGCCCACTGCAACCCTAGCCATATTTGAAAAAAAAACGGTCACTAATGGATGGTTACTTTTGTGATCATCCCGCACTCATGTATGATCGGTTAAACACTTCAATAATGTAAGCAAGGGGGAAATATCAATAAGATAACTAGACCCACGAGATGACAAGTGTAAAAGAAAATCAAATTGTTCCGGCGTGAATCGTGAAATGTCAGTAATCTAGCTAATGCAATTCATCATAATGGTGTCAGGGTTTATCACACATTATATGCATGTTATCAGATTCGAGAAAAAGGAAAGCGAAACGCGTAAAGCAAACTTTGTTTTCGATTTCTTCATCATCAAGCCTATTACCGAAATATACTTTAAGCAAATTAAGTCCGTATACAGTACCGAAGTAAACCACTGATTAGACTAAATCAAACGGCTATCATGATATGTTTCAGGTAATTAGGTGATGAAAGGCACGTGATATTGTTGCACGGCATCCGCTTCTCCTTCTTCTAGCTGTTGGCCAAGTAAGTTGCAACGCGTGAGTGAACTACTTTTGGATGCAAAGACGTAGTCTTGTCAATCTTATGCTTATCGCTTCAGCGGTAGCCAGTAACCTTGCTGCTAGTTTATGGTTCAAGTGGAATAGCACATGATACAGAATTTTGAATGCACTGCGGCTGTCAACGTGGTGCCCTGTACTGATCAGCTGGTTAGCTATGTCACTTAACTTCTGAGAGCTAATTCCGTAGATAGTCCTTGATTCTATTTCCTTAGTACCTGATCTTGCGTCCAATGTGCCTATCTGCACAAGAGCAGATGAACCAATAGGTCGCCACTGACTGGAGTTGACCAGGCATTCTGTCTTTGAATCTAGGGACATGTAACGATTTGCTTGTAGAAACCACGCTTAAGCTGGCTGTGCTGAAAATCTTTCTATAGGTCTGCAATAAGCTTCGCGTACATATCTCAGCTGCTTTATCACCGTTAAAAGGGATCTTGAGGAACAGCTGTTTCTCCACAGCCGTTTTACCATGGGCTTCGGGTCGTTTGGCTTCATATCGATGTCAATGAAGCGCTCTGAATAATCACTTTCAAGAAGGGTGTTCTTGAATGGCCTCAGTTCATCTGCGATTATGTCTTCGGTGCAGATCTTACGTGTACGGTTAGTCAACGTATGCACCAGTGTCATTTTTCGACTGGGTGATACGAAGCTCTGTAAGTGTGTGTACTGTCGCGTCCAGTACGGCTTCCTGTATAGTGTTAACTGGATTGATCTATCTGCTCTCCTCTTTATCCATGCATCCAAAGAACTCAGGCAATTGCTGCTTTCTGCTTCTCCTGTGAATGAGGTATTGGGATGTGCCTTACTGAAACACTTGACTACATCCTGCAAATCGGTCTCCTGGTCTACTATGCCGAAAGCGAAGTCTGAGTAATGTCGGTAGAACCTGAAATTGGCAATAACCGGTTTCAACGGGCCATCCTCCAATATGCCCATATAGACATTCGCCAAATGCAACCCAAGAGGGGACCCCATTGCCAGAATATCACGGGTATAGCCAAGATAATTTCTGTGATTTTTGGCTCAATGCCCTAGTAGTTTGGGGAGGTAACTAGACGGGTGACGTAAAAAGTGACAACATTGTGCATATTATAGACCTCTGTGATATACGTCGATTCTTCAGTGTAGCGCTTTTGTCGAACACGGCTTTCCTGATTCGTCGGTTCTGGCACTCCATAAACCAGTACCACTTTCTTCAACACATTGTAGCGGGACACGCAGGCGTTGGATTTCGGTTTCTGTCTCTCTGCCCATGCATTGTTTGGAAAGATGCGGGTGTTGACAGAGTTCACTAGCATGTGACTTGATAAGAACACATCGCCCATGTCTCGGATGTTGACAAACGTTATTCGCAGTAACCAAAGTTTCCCTACGACTGGAGATGGTAGATTTCGTGAAAGGTGTGTAAGACTAGTTGGAAGAAGCTCTGGTCCGAGTGCGCAGCTTATCTCCGAGCGGTGATTTTGTTCCTTGGTCTGTCTACCCTCTAACGGTTCGCTAATATGTTCTGGGACTTATGACCACATCACCGTAATCGCCTTTTAGTTGCGTAGTAACTTTTAGCGTAGTAACTGTTTGTTCTGCTGTTCATTGTGAGCGCAACTTTGCCATGTAAGTGTTTGTCTTGTCTTGTGTGGTAGACAGGCCAAGGCTACAGCAAGACTATTTTTGGGTAACGCTGTTAGTCACACCGTCTGTAGGGTGCATATATTGTTGTCAAACTAATAACAGTGGTCGCGCAATTTGTGCCTAACTGTTCACGCCTTGCGACATTTTCTACTGAGCATATCTAACACAGGGATGCATTCAGAGTGCATTGCTGCACCTAAGGAAAATGAAAGTAGAATCTTGACGAGTTGGACGTTTTCCCACGGAGTAAACTTCACGCTAAACCCAATTATTGCATAGATTCACAGGCTGTTCTAGCACGGGAAAGATTTAATTTTATATATCATGAACAGTTTCCGTTAATAAACGTCACACCACAACTACCCGGCAGCGCCACTTTTTCTATATGTTGCTTTGATTTGCAAGTACTCCGCACTGTAGTAACGTATACGTTAGTGGAGCTAGCCTCGCTATCTCACATTTAGTAAGAGCCATATCCTTTGCTGACGTCACCCGTGGTTCTTTTGTCCAAACCACAGACACCTAAGCGTAGGATTGCAGGTTTTACTCCCAAAATAGATAGGTGGAATGTGCACTACTGACAATTTCACTCAGTACTTTTCCAGACGTGTAATGTTTATCTGACTGAGTTATGCCGCAGTGATTTCAATTTATTGGGTCTAGATCCTGCTACAGATCCCTTATAATTAGACAATAGTCAAACAAAAGCTTATGCGAATAGAGTACTTCGGAAATTAAGAATAGACCGCATATTGACTGAGATGACAGAGGTTTCATCATGGTTAATGTCATGTTCCAGGAACTCTTTCCTCTACCTTCTAACTGCCTCGCTCTCAGATATTGCAATCAGTTATACATGTTACACTAGTAGAGCCACCAAACAGTTGATTAGCAGTCATGAACATAGTAAAGCGTTACCACGTTGTCTCTAACCGCTATACTTCACTCTTGTTCTCGACGTTTCTTTATTCATCTTCGTTCGTGGGTACTCCGAGCATTGCGACGGTGAGGACAGTTGCCTGGCTTCGGATTACTGGCAGTGAGCATTTTACTAACACTAGGTACACTTTGGGGCATTACTGTAGTCTAACCAAAAAATTTTAATCGATTCCTAATCGTGTGCACTTAATGTTGCTTATCTTACACATTAAATACATAATGTGAAGACAAAATGACATAATTCGGAAGTGTGTTTCACTGCCGACATGCTCAGTGCAAGGAAAACCTCCGGATACATTCCAAACGGTTGGGTTGTGCAGCCAACTTCAGCTGGTGATCCCTTAGTTTGACGTCTGGGCTAAGCTACAGGAGTGAGTGGCGAAGTTGATTGGGTTTCAAATTCTTTAGATGACACTTGGAACCGATCGTGAACTCATGCGTTCAGAGAGGTTTGGAAGCAATTGGTTGTTATAGTAGTTTGGCAACGTTTCGCTCTTGTGACAAGAGGTTCATCAGACCAGGTGTATCAAAGTGCGATTGGAGTGGCATTTCATAGCGAACAGGGACGATAACCGCGTTACCCTTGACTTGAGCCAAGGCGTCACTGCAGTCACAGCTCGTGATGTTACCTAAGGTGGTTCATTCACAGTGGGGATAGTCCAGATATTCCTTTGTGCGTCACGACATTGACAAATAAGCCGATAGTGGAGACAATGGGAGTCGAGGTGCACTTTCTAATCTGATCCGCGCACCGACGGTCGTCAAGCTGACCGGCTTAATATCGCCCGCCACGTACTAGAGATTTAAACTCTACCATTCTATTCACATTGTTGTTCGATTTGGTAATTTCCACCGCCTCGGCAATCAACCGCTGGGGAGTTGAGCCTGTACTCCTCCTAATGACCTTACGTTTTCTAAGTCGATCTGGTGACCCTTGTCTAATCCATGCACAACCACGGCTGAGTCGCTTAATACTGCCTGGTATCCAAACTCGTTCGTCAGTGGTCTTGAAATGCGCCTCCTGCGCTCTACAATTCGTGTGCGTACCTCTCTCACTGTCTGGCCTATGTACACACGTGTACAGTCCTTACATTAAATTGTATAAACACAGTCCTCCTATCCTTGGGAAGGGAGTCTTTCATGTGCATTATCGCTGAACATAGCGTTTGACCGCGCTGAAGGATCACCGTTATATTTTCTTTATTTAGTACCCTCCTAATCGCCTCCGAAGTGCCTTCCTTGTACGGGATTCCTACCGTCCCTATCCACTCCATTTTGGGCCTTGACTGCCGGTTGAGCACTTTATGTAAATGGCTTTTGACTAGCCGCCGTGGATAATCGCTATCTAATAGTCTTCCCATTGCCCCTTTCCACGCGGCATTTTTGTCCTCCTCCATCGTGCACAGGGTTTTTGTTCTGTAGAACAACGCTAAGGCTATCCCAGTTTAAACCTGTTTCGGTTGACCCGAAGTGTAGTGGAGAACCCCGTCAGTATCAGTTGGTTTGCGATATATTGTCGTCTTTAAATTCCCCATTCCTGTGAACCAGGCAATCAAGAAAGAGTATTGTACCGCTACCAGATTTCAACCCAATAGGAAACTGTATTCTCTCATCAATGGATTTTAAGTGATCAAGCAACTCGTCCTTCTTATCCCGTTTAACAAGTACAAAAACGTGGTCTACATAACGCCACCAAACTTTTGGTGAGCTAATGGTGTTTGTTAACGCCCTGTTCTCGAAGTTTTCCATATACAGGTCCGCTAATACAGGGGATATTGGCGATCCCGTGGCGAGAGCTTG